TTACAGCACAGGGTTGTTTCAACTCACGTGAAATAATGGGTATAAAACAATTTGACAACTTTAAAAATCAGGTTTTCTGGGCACCCCTTCTCCTAACCTCCCCACTCCAGGCTTTTATCCCCTAATATTATTAATGAGTTCTCCTGAGATGCAAAACACTTTTTTAACCCATTCCAGTCAAGGAAAACTCCTTAAATAAGGGCCCCCCCCTTTAAATCCTTAGCTAATTCTGGTTTTGAGTTCTTCTCCCCCACTGAGGTCTTTGCCACAATGCCAAAACTCTTAGCACTGCCATATTGGTAAGTAGGCTAAGCTGTGGCCCAAATTCAGAGAGGTCCTAGCCTGGGAGAGGTAACAGCCTTGAGCCGTCACATACAAATAATAGCTACTATTCCAATAGCATTCTAAGGTTTACAAAATGCTTTAAAATATTACCTCATTTTAGCCTCACAACAACCCTAGGAGGTAGGTGCTATTATTATCCCCATTTTACATCAAGGTAAACTGAGACAGACAGCTAGGAAGTGTCTTTAAGGCTAACTTTGAACTCAAGGTCTATCTGATTACAGGTCCAATGCTCTGTACGCTGTGGCACCACCTAGCGGCCATTCCAACCACTTCCCTTTATTCTTTAATGAAGGTGCTCAGACTGACAGGTTCCAGTGAGTTCAAGCTGGATGGGACCTTAGAGGTCATTTAATTCAACCCCTCCACTTTATAGATGAGGAAACTGAGGCTCAGAGGAGTTAAGTGATTTGTCCAAGGTCATACAACTAGTTACTGAAAGAGTCAAGATTTGAATCCAGATCCCTGCTGCCACTGTTCATTCTTCATATCCATATTCCCAATATTCATGCTTAATGACTCCACTTCCCAGCTCAACACCTCCCCTTTTTATCCTCATCCCCTTTTGAGGTACCCACTCCACTCACATCTGACACAGTTCCCTAATACCCACTTCCACTCCCAATGAACACAAAATAATTTAGCATGGTAGATACAGTGTTAGATTTAGAGCCAGGAAGACCTCAGTTCAAATCCTGCTTCTGGCACTTACTAGATTTCTGGCCTTGGGCAAGTCAGTTAATTTCTCTGACGATCAGTTTTCTCATCTGTAAAATGAGGTTAACAATGTCTCATTCTGCTGTTGTGAGGCTCAAATGAGATGATGTATGCACAGTTCTTTGCAAACTATAAAGCGCGATATGGAGACCATTATTATTGCTGAGGGAGGATGTCATTCACACCCCAGTCTTAGGGACTTTACAGCACGGTATTAGTCAGTGGTGTACTGGTAAATGTTTAACAGCCATCTCTCGGGGAAGGGAAAAAAACAGTTAAATATGCATCATGAACATTTTCTCCATCACTCTCTTAAGTCTAGTTATCAACAAAACAATAAATCAAGCCTTGATTTGTAGTTTGCTTATTTTTAAGGTGGAAACGCTCATGCTGAAAATTGAACCACTAGCTCTCTTGAGCTGGCTCTAGCCCTCCCCTGGTGAACTGACCATAAATTCCATAGCACTCAGCAGCGTGAATGGCTACCCAAGTAGAATCTTCAACTCCACTAGTAGATGTCAGTGACTCCCAATGAAGGTGAGCTCGTCATGAGTAAGAATCTTGTCCTTTGCACAGTATCCCCAGCTGGGTCTCCAACACTGAGCACAGTGCCTGGCACTGGCACATAGTAGGCACTTAATAAATACTTGTTAGTTGATTGACTGATGACAGAGGTGACAGTCTTCTATCTTCTGTTTTGGGAAGATCATATTTGGAGAACTGGGCTGTGTTCTGGCCACCACATTTTAGGGAGGACAGTGATGGAGTGTGTCCAGAGGAGCAAGGCTGTTATCTACACATAGTATAAGCTATGTATTTTATGTGTGTATTTTAAAATGTTTGTTAAATGACTGAGTGAACAGCCAGGATGATGATGGGACTCCAAACCATATTCTATGAAGGAAGCCTATGAATGTTTTAGTCTGGCACTGGCTTAGAGGAGACATCCTCCCTCTCCAACCTTTTCAGTTCCCTTTTATGTGTTGTCTTCCCTGAATAAATGTAATTTCCTTGAAGGCAAGAACTCTTATTTTCCTGTTTTTGTGTCCCCAGTACTTAGCAGACAGTCTGGCACATAGCAAGCACTTTACAAATTGCATTTTCTCTGTCTCTGTCTCACTCCCCTTCTCTCTCTCTCTCTCTCTCTCTCTCTCTCTCTCTCTCTCTCTCTTCCTCTCTCTCTCTCTTCTTCCCTTCCTCGCTCTCTCCCTCCTCCCCCCTTTCTTTCAAATCTGCAAAAATGAAGGGGGTTGAACTCAACAATCATCTGAGGTCCCTTTCAGTTTTAATTGATGATCTTATAATCTGGGAAACTGTTATGTGGAAGAGGGATTACACTGAAGATTCTAGGATTTGGAAGTTTAGACATTAACTAATCTCAGTCCCCCCAATTTCACAGACAAGGAAACTGAGGTCCAGAGAGAAGGGCAAGCCAATAGTTTAATGGCAGAGGTAGGATTCATACCCATCTCCTCTGACACCAGAGCCAGGGCTCTTTCCCCTAGATCACAGTGCTTTCTTATCAGTAGAACTGTTTGACAATGGAATGTGTGTGTGTGTGTCAGGGAGATGAGAGAATCTGGGTAGTCACACAGCCAGAGTGTGTCAGAACTTCAAACTCAGGTCTTCTGGACCCCAAGTCTGGTCACCCACCTATCATGCCATCCTTCTAATCACCATCCCTTTAATCCTTTGAGTGCCCCCAGTTGAAAGTGTCCTGTTTTGAAGCTATATTTCATTAAATAAGGCTTCTCTTAAATCTACACTAGAGCAGATTCTTTATTGAGGGTGGAAGCTGATGGGAGAAGGGTTCCAGTGGAGGGAAAATTGTTCTTGAATCTAGTATCAGAGGACCTGAGAATCCTCCCTCAATTATTTGCTGCCTGTGATTATGGGCAGCTCACTTCCCCTCTCTGGGCCTCAGTTTCCTGATCTGTAAAACAAAGGAGTTAGACTATATGGCCATGTAGTTGCCTCAAGCTCTTCAACTCTTACTCCATAATCCTAGGAATCTGATGGCTCTACCCATCCAGGGGAGATTTGAATCTGAAACCATGGCCATGGAGAAAGTAAAGAAGGCAGTTCTGATATTGATCTTTTAGGCTTGGGGGTAGGGGTGGGGTCATGAAGGTGGGGTAGGGGGCTTTCCTATCCTCCTGAACTCTGGCTATATAAAAGAATGCCAATTCTTCTCATGCAGAGCCAGCACAAAATGCTGGTACAAAAATAAGTTACTAGTATCGTTTATATAGCACTTTAAGGCTTGCGAAGAGCTTTACATGGTATCTCATTTGATCCTCACAACAACCCTGGAATGTAGTTGCTATTATTATCCCCATTCTACAGTTGAGGAAACTGAGGCAATCAGGTGACTCAGGGTCACCCATCTAGTAAGTGGCTGAGATCAGACTCAACCTTGGGTCTTCCTGAGTCCCAGTCCAATTGCCTGGTATAGGAGGGGCAAGGTGATAGGGGCGTGGAGGCAGAGGAAGTTGATGGAACTAGAAGGCTTAGCTCTGGCTCCAAAGGGGAAATGTCCCAAAGGTTACTAGGGAGTCATCTCTTTAGGATTATCAAGGGGAGAGTGCAGTGACTACAATAGTGTCTGCTTTGCAACTCACAGTATTAAAAGTGATGCTCAGCTTTCAGAGGTTAAGTGACTTGCCCAGAGTCACATGGTCAGAGCGTGTCAGGAATAGAACTTAAACTCACACCTTCCTACCTCCCCACTCCATCACCTTCCTTTCACTGTCCTCACTAGAGGAATAACCCTAACCCTAACCCTAACCCAATTAAATGGCCCATTTCAGTATGTCATTTAATGACATTGCTTTCAAAGTGGAATGCCCTGGATCTCTGAGATGATTCCTCCTTCTCCCCAGGAGATGACATTGTATATCACTGTGGTCTCATCAGCCCTAATCAAGGGCTAATCTTTTGGATTAAATGAATGAAGCCATTAACGGTCCTGCAGGACTAGACCAGGTCATTATCAATGAGCTCAGCTTCTTCAGACACTAGGTAGGAAAACCAGAGACAATAGAAGTCTCCAAACTCTGCTCTGCTCCCCGAGGGTGAAATCTGAGGGACAATTAATTAATCCATCCTGCCAAGTGACTAAGCTCCGAAAGGTCTGTGTTTCAGGATTTGCCACTTCAGTGCCCTGAGCCTGTCCTTCTCCTCCCTCTCTTCCCCTTGCCTCCCTTCTCCCTCCAGACAGATAGCCACAGTGAACTCTTGTCTCACCAGTGAAGAGCCAGGGCAAGAAAAGAACAGGCAGAGACGGAAAATCATGCATGTTTATTTAGCCTCATCATAATTATCTGGTACAAACATACCCAAGCATACACAGTATGCACCCAGCAGCCCCGGTGCCCGGCGCACCCACTCTCTTAAATCCCTGCCGGGCAAGGGGCATCACAAGCACCCTGGATGATGCAGCTCCTTTGAGGCTGGCAGCAGTGATTTCTCAGAAGGACCAGCCCCTTCAAATGTATAACATTCAAACCGCAGCCTCCCACCCTCCCATCTTTTCCCCCTATGTCCTTTAATATAAAGTGATCCCCATTCTTTTCACAAATAGAAAAAATAAGGCAGCTACCTATGGAAGCATCCATTCCCTGTCCATGGTCTGACACCGTCTAGTCCCCTTCACCTCCCCAAAGTAGTCACTGATGGAGAGAATAAGTCTCACCAGGAGATCAGAGGGCCCCAGAGACTAACCCAGGGCTCAGAGAGATGATAGGAGCCCTAGAGAGCTGCCCCAGGTCCCAGAAAGTGTTTCTTCTTCTGTGGGCAGGGGGACGGGAGGAAGGAGTGCTGTCCATGGAGAAGGGGGCAAGAAAACTGGATGCAAAGCCACAAAGCTCTTACACAAGTCAGAGAATTCTCCCCCACCCCCACCCCCATCTCTGCACTTAAATGATTAACAATCTTACTACAGTTGTAACGTACAAAACATATATCCCTTTCCTTCTCCCACTCCCTTTACCTTCCCACCCATTAAGCACCTTCATTCTGAAGAAACATCTATGTACAGCCCTATACTTTCAACAGAATACTGGACTCCTTTCCCTTCAAGCTGGAGGAGACCTCAGAGTTGAGGCCGAGAGAAGGGAAGTGACCGGTCCAAGGTCACACAGTAAGTGGCAGAAATGGAGATTGGAGTCCAGGCCTGCTGACTCCTAGTCCAGGGCTCTGTCCACTGCCAAGAGTTCAAGTATTCCATTCTCTTCACACATAAATAAAAGGGGAACTAATATTCCCTACTGAAAAGAGGAAGTCCTGCAGGAGCCACCTTCCTCTGGAGTGAAAACCTGGAGCTGGCTGGCATCAGTCCATCTACCAAGGCCGCCACAGAGGACTGGGAGGGCCTTTGAGGGCAGGCTGCTTCCCAGGGCCAGGAGTCGGGAAAGAGGGAGCCAGCCCCTCAGTGGCTGCTGAGGAGCTTTTCTGGAAATGACTGTGAAGCTTGGTCTGGGTGTCTGTCTGTGCCTTGTGGAAGGAGAGGAAGTGGAAGGCTTCCTGCAGGCAGCGGGCATAGCCCTCCTTGAAGTCCGTCTGCAGGCTTCTGGGGAGCAAGCCTGGAGCTGGAGGAAGAAGAGGGAGAGAGGGGAATGAGAAGAGGGTCCCAGAAGCAGCACCCCCCTGCCCAGTTTCTAGCCCTGTGACCCTTCTCCTGTAGCCCCCTGGCACAGCTGGCATCGAGAGCCCCATGCTCACTTTTGCCCTGCAGATGACTCTGCTGTTTCAGGTAGCTGACGGTCATCTCCAAGATGTCAGCCTTCTCCAGCTTCGAGTTGGGCTGGTGTCTCTGGAATTCTTTCTCCAGCAACAGTTTCAGCTGCTCGATGCTGCTGTTGATGCGGTCCCGGCGCATCTTTTCCACCACCGGCTTCCTCAGCTATTGAGAGAAGAGGATAAGACAGTGGTTAGCAAAGAGCCATTCTGGACTCTCCAAATCCCCATCCCAGCCATTCTCTTCCCCCAGTCCTACTTAGTCTCTGTCTTCCAAAACTATAGATGGTTCCAAGTCCTTATACAAGTCTGAAAACTTACTTTGTTTTTCTCTTTGGGAGTCAGGAGGGAGCTATGCTCCATGAAGTCTGTGCTGGGTGCCATGGGGCTCTTGGCAAGAGACAGCAAGGATGAAAACAAGAGCAGTAGCGTTGGCAGCTGGACTGCCCGCTGCTGAGCGGCTCCTGTATTTATCCAATCTGCCTGCCCCAGGATGTGTGGGGCTCTGGCCTCGCTGACTTTCCCACACTCGCTGGCCAACCAGAAGCCAGGACTGGACAATGGGAGAAGCATCTCTTCTTGTATGCTTGGGCTTTGGGTGAATAGGCTGGGGATAATGACCCTCCCCTCTCCCCCTCCCAACCCTGAGCAGGTGGGGACTCTGTGACTAGAGAGAGAGAGAGGAGGAATCCTGGCCTTGGAGAAGCTGGGAACTGGTTGCTGACTGATGTGGGAGATCAATAGCGCTCCCGGGCCGTTCACAATGTACAGTTCAGGAGATCTATGAATGGAAATGGAAAGAACAGTTCCCCCCTCCCCCAGTCACACACTGCCAAGTGGCGGGAAATCTTAGCCAGGCTCAGGGCAAAGAAGAAGGAAGATCTCTCCTCTGGTGTGTATGAAAGGGAGTACACGGGGAGAACTAGCCTGGGAGTGGGGAGGATCTAGGCCAAGATGGGGAGCTCCTAGTCAATTGAAAGTAACCCCAACGTAGGACAGACATCCCTTCCCCCAAGTGACCCCTATGGCCAAATTAAGTGCCAGATCCAAGTCAGAGAGAGGGATGAGAAAATCTAAGTCAACTCAACAAGTGTTTGTTCAGCTAGACCCAGGCACTGTGGTAGGTTACAGCTATAAAAGTGACACAGTCTCTGCCTCGAACAGTTTACATTCTACACAGAGAAGTAAATAATAACAACAACTAACATTTAGATAGCACTTACTATGTGCTAGGTACTGAGCCAAGTGCTTTACAATTATTTCACTTTTCACATCAACCCTGGGAGGTAAGTGCTATTATTATCCCCATTTTACAGATGAGGAAACTGAGGCAAAGACAGGTTTAAGTGACTTGTCCATGGTCATACAGCTAGTAACCATTGGAGGCTGGAATTGAAATCAAGTCTTCCTGATTCCAGGATAGGCACTCTATCCATTTTGCCATCTGACTACACATACAAAATAGAAAATACGTTTATATAAAGAATATTTTTGATTCTTTGTTATATACATATATTATATAATATAGAATAAATGCAAAGTAATTTAGGGGAGGGGGAGAACATTAACAAATGGGGCTGGGATCAGGAAAGACCTCATGTAACAGGTGACCTGAGCCTTGAAGGAAGCTGGAAATTCCAAGAGCCAAAAGTAAGTAGGGAGAGCATCTAGGAATGATAGTGGAGGGTAGATCATCATGTTTAGGGAAAATGGCCTTTGAGATCACTTTGAGCTCTAGATCAGTGATTCTGTTATATTTTTTTTTATTACTATTGTAATCAGGAATCATCCTGGCATGGCAGAAAGTGCTCTGGATTTGAAGTCAGAGGACTTTGGCTTAAATCCCAATTTTACCATTTAATACCTATTTAGGCTTGAGCAAATCACTTCTCTCTGTGCCTCAGTTTCCGCATCTATAAAATGTAGGGGTTGGATTAGATGATCTCTAAGGTTCCTTCAAGCTGTAAACACATGATCCTTTGGTCTGGTCCAATATTCTTGTTTGATAGAGACTCAAGCCCAGAGAGGGAACTCTCAAACAACAAATGAGTTGCAGAGTCAGACCTTTAAACTAGGTCTAGGTCCCTTGATTCCCGTTCTAGGGCTCTCTCAACAGTAATTATAGCAGATGACCTCTAGGGGGAAACCCTTGGCCTGGTCTCACAGTGTGCTACTGCTTTCAGAAGCTAAAGCTTTGAGTAAATCCTTTCTTTCGGCTATTTTGATAGGTCAGAAGGTTGAGCTCAATCTCCCCTATAATCCTGAGTCTAAAACGCATATGGCCTGTCAATCATTCAGCATCTGCTTGCTGAGCACCTACAGCATATCAGAGACACTAAATGAGAATACATAGAAACATAAGGCATGGTCTAACTGGGGACATCAGCCTGGAATGTGCACAATCATAATGATAATTGGTAATTATGGAGCAACTTGGAGGTTGGCAAATGTTAGCCTAAATCATCTCATTTGGATGCTGTGACAACTCAGTGAAGTAGGTACTACATCACCCAGACAAGTAGGTACTATGTCCATTTTACTGAGAAGGAAACTGAGGCTCAGAGGGGTGATGGGATTTGCCCATGGTCAATTAGCTACTAACCATCAGAGTCAGGATTCAAACCCAGGTCTCTATTCGCACCAGCTCCAGGGTTCTTTCTGCCATACTGAACTGTTAACACTTATGCTGGATTAAGTGACCGGGGACTTCCAAGGAAGGAGGAATAGTGAGATGTATGAAGGCAGGAAAGTTTTCACAGAGGAAGTGGGTTTTTACCCGGGCTTAAAAGAAAAGGTGAGATTGTGAAAGATGGAAAAGAGAAAAGGCATTCTGGGTAGGGAGGAGGAGCAGGAGCAAAAGTATGTAGGTGGTATCCATTCCACCAATGGACCATCAGTGTGCCTCTGTTTCCCTATAGCCCCTCCAACGTTTATCATTTGGGTTTTTTTCTTTTTGGTAATCTTTTCCAAGTTGAACAAAAATAGAGAGGCAGAAGGGGTGCTAGAGATGTAAAATGTTGCACACATTTTCAGACAGTCACTATATTATTAGTATTACTTTGTTACAAGAGTTCTCTCATGAAATGGGAAGCCTATAAATATTTATAATGTAAAAAATAAAATGTATCAATGATTTTTTTAAAGGGGGTAAAATAAAAAGTAACAACAACAACAATAAAGCTAGCATTTATGTATTGCTTTAAGGTTCATAAATACTATCTCATTTGATCCTCCCAACAACCCTGTAGGTAGGTGTTATTATTATCCCCATTTTACAGATGAGCAAACTGAGGTAGGCAGAGATTACGTGACTTGCCTGAGGTCAAGCAACTAGGAAGTATCTGAGACAGAAAGGTGTATCAGGATGTCAGAGAGAATATAAAATATAAGCAATAATAATACATGATGCATGCAGACCTATTTTCCCTTAAGTTGTTGAGGTTTTGTTCCCAGGTCAGCTACCGGGAGTAGATACATAAGGGAAAATGTTTTTGGCTTCAGAACTATGCCTGGATTGGGCCAAAGATGGGTAGGATTTACAACTTTAACCATATCAAATCAAGAAACATTTAGGAAGTACCTACTATATACCAGGCACCAATGCTAAGCCCTACGGATTATAAGAAAGCACTAAAAAATAAAAAATAAAAATAAAATAAACCTCAGTCCCACTGTACAGGGATTCACAGTATGATAGGACCAAGTCACATAATGGGTACAAGGCAGCATGCTTCAGAAAAGCATAATCTTTAAATCCCAGTTCTGCCCATGACTCTCTGTGCAGTCTTGGGTAAGTTCCTTTCCCTTCTCTGGGCCTCAGTTTCCCCAAATGTAAAGAAGGTTGGACTTGTGGCCTAAGGGCCCTTCCAGCTCTGACACACTATAATTCTGACTCAAATCACTTCTCAGTCACATCTGTTCCTGTGCCCTGAATGGCCTGTTTGCCTCACTGGCCCCCACCCGTGCCCACCCAGGTAAAGCAGATGTGGCTGAGTGCACCCCCCCACCTCCCAGTATCTGCTTCCCCAGCGCCTTTTGTGTAGCCCTCAATGGCCTCATCCCTTTTGTACAGATCAGCAGCTGGGAAGCCCTGGGTCCTTTATGTCAAGTTGTGGGAAAGTTTTTGTGACAGTGTCTCACGTGCTTTCTCAAAAGCTCCTGGATCATGTCTGTGCTCATGTAATACCATCTCAGAAAAACGCCCCAGGTTTGGCAGCAGAAGCTTGAGATCTCATAGACAGTTGGTTTTTGTTTGTTTGTTTGTTTTTTGAGTTTTTTTTGTTTTTTTTTTAAAGACCATAGAATTGTGGGAGAGCTATAGATTAACAGAGGTAACTGAGAAAGTCTCTATTTCATAGGTAAAATGAATCCTGTGGTAAACAACCAGGGCACAACCCCCATTAAAAGACCAAAGCTAATAGGCTTGGGTCCAGATAGGAGCTCATTAAGCTTGGAGGGGCCCTTAACAGTCAGTTGAGGATATTGAGACCCAGAATAGGGAAGGGATTTGGTCAAGGTCACACAGAGTTAGTGACGGTCCTTCACTATGAGAATGTGTGCTCTTCCCACAATATCCAACAATCGGAAGGCTATGTGCCCCTAAAAATAACTTCTTTGCATGGGGGGGACCCAGGAATGTGGATTGTAGTATATGTGGTCAAACCTAGTTCAAGTATTGGCTATTTATGCTGAATTACTTTTTTTCAAATAGTTTTTTTTTAAGGTGACTGGGAGAGGGGAGAAGCAGGACTCTATTTCTACCCAAGGATGATGGGAAAACAAAAGATGCAAACAAAATTTTTTAATTTAAAAAACATTTGTTATTAAGCCCAAACTCCATTCTTTCATCTTTTTTTTTTTCCTTTCCTCCCTCCCTCCTTCCCAAGGAAACTGAATTACAAAGTTGATGTAATGTTAGCCTGGGGAAGAAAAAAATGGGAGATCATGATAGCCCTCTTCAAACATTCAGAGTCTGGTGAGAAGAGACATAGAACTTTTTTTATTTAGCCCAGGGCAGAGCTAGGAGCAATGAGTGAAAGCTGAGAAGTGGCAGAATTTAAGACCGGATGTTGGGTAAACCTCTCTGACCATGGGTGTTAGTTATCACCGACTGGAATGGGCTACCTCAGAAGGTGAGATCCTGAGTAAGTCACTTCACCTCTGTCTGCCTCAATTTCCTCATCTCTATAATGGGAATAGCACCTACCTTCTGGGGTTGTTGTGAGGCTAAAATGAGATAATATTTGTAAAACACTCTGCAATTAATTAACTTAATTGATATAGAAACACTTAGTTGTCCATCACTAGAAGTCCTCAAGCAAAGGCTAGATAATCATTTGTTGGCAAAGCTAGAGAGGGGATTGTTGGTCAGCTATAGATTGGACTGG